AAAAAAAATACCCCAAAAGAGATATTTTAGGATAATAATAAGTTTTATGTAATATAACTGTGTTTTTGTCATTCTTAAATAACAAACCAAAGCATTTTAGTAGTTAAAAAATTATTGAATATACATTTAAGGGAAAAAGTATTCTTGAGATTCAGTCACAGGCCAAATGTGAGGAGTTTGCGGGCCTGAAGTAGCCCATGGGCCAGGAGTTTAAAAATCACTGTTTTAGGTACATAAACAAAATAAAACTAACCTTTTATTGACACCACTACACAAAAGCTAATCAAAATCAAAGTTTAATCAACAAACAGGTCACTAATTAATTAATATTATTATTATTATCAATAATAATAATATTATTCTTGAAGCCCCACCACAGTGGGGCACTCGTACGCCAATCCGCTCGCATTTTTAGTTATTAAAAATAACTACAAATCAATTAATTTGTTCCAGCCCCCCGAAAAATACTATTAATTAATTTAATTAAAATCTCCCCATCTAAACATCAAGAACATAGATATCAACTAATATATTGATAATATAAATTAATAATAATTAAGAAAACATTTTTATATTATTGTTATAAAAATAAGTAAAATAACCCAGTGGGGGACAGTGAGCGAGACAGCGTGACAGTGTCGAGTGGAAAAACGGAGCTCGGTTGAGCACTCGTAGCTCGATGTTTCCTCGTATTACGAAGAAAATCTTGGAAAAGTTGCTTACTAGTAACTTCAAAAACTTGTATTTTGGGTAGCTCTTATCTTGAAGTCCCACTGTAGTTGTATATAAATGGTATGACTTGTAAGTCATATGTGAATGTAATATAGTAATATGGTAACAACATAGTGTTATATTCTAATAAGACAAACCTCTAGACTTGTTGGAGGAACATTTTTCATGTTAATTGCGTTTAAACAGTTTAAATATCTTAAGGCAGTGATTCCCAACCACTGTACTGTGGCACACTAGTGCGCTTGGAAAATCATCCTGTTTGACTTAATTGGGCTGAAAACTATTTATTGTATATACTTTTTCTTTGCTCATCAAAGCATGTACGACAGAACAATTAAATACTCTTCTGCTAGGTGGCAGCAGATGGCTATGAAAAATTAAAAAAAAAAGATAATATAATAAGAGCTGTTGAAGAAGATCTTTGCGAGTGTCTTTCTTCAATTCCTGCCAATAAATCAGCATTGTCTTCAACCAAACAGGCTGAGATTTGAGTCAATTATTAGGTCATTTAAACTAGAAGATTATTACTAAATTATTATATTTCATTACATATATTTTTTTTAGTGCGGTTTGTGTTTGGTGGTGTGCCGTGGCTGAGGTTGGGAAACACTATTTAGGAGAGGTTTCACTGCTAGATGTAAGTGTGGCCGAATCTCACTTTTGAACTTTTCCTTTTATGGTGGTAGAAGGGTTGTTGATGAATTTTTGGTTGACAAAATTTACAGACAACACTTGAAAGTGTTCAGACTGCAGAGGCGTTTTGGCAGCAGAAGCTTCTTTTCCATGTCGCTACAGCCAAAATAAATCTATTGTCTGGAGCCACACACACTGACACACAGTGTAACACACTTGCGTAACACAATGCCAGGTCACTATGTCAAGAATATGAACCAATGAATGCTAGCAGCTGTCATTAGCTTTTCGCACCCTTAGCATTCCAGCTAAGTCAACATTTTGGTTACATTGAAACAACGAAATCTTTTGTGCCTAATTCTTTATTATACTATTGTATGTAAGTAATAAATCAATCTGGACGGCATGTACTAGGGTAAAAAGAATGTATGAAAAAAGTAACATTTAACTTATTTGTAGTTGTTCTGTCCTTGTGGTGCGTAACTTACACAAAGCTAAAAAGCTAAATAATAATGAAAGTCCCCTAATAAACACACAAGTTTGTTCATGAGCTTTACTGAAAGGTATTGTAAAACGGAAACATTACAGAAACTAAAAATGCCCATTAGTGCACGCGCATTAGCATACGCTCATTTACACGAGTTCGTTAGCATATGCGCATAGCATCGTTGCTAAGTAAATGTATATACAAATTAGCTCTTAACTAAAGCTGTTATTTAAAATACACGTGTTACTAAAAGACACTGTCCAAAGTCAGCCAAAGTTAGCTAGGAAACGTTGAGCAATGCTGATAGTCTTGAGCCAATCTGTTACTGTTGCGCAAAGTTGGCTAGCATGCCTCTGCGCATCTTGAGAAAAGTTGTGTAACATCTTGTGTAACAACTTGTTAATCAGGATAATTCATATCGACGTGACATTGAGTAACTTCCCACAGGTGGAGGTAGCGGATGACTGGCTGCGTTACGGTAACCCCTGGGAAAAGGCTCGCCCCGAGTACATGCGTCCTGTGCACTTCTACGGTCGGGTGGAACACACAGCTGAAGGAGTGAAGTGGGTGGACACACAGGTAGGTAGTGGTGGAGGACACGGATCTGCTGGGTCGGTCTACGGTGGTCTGTGTTTTTTAATATTGAATTCTAACACCAGGATCAGGATAAATTAAAACGTCTGTAAAATAAAATTAAAAAAAAAAAAAATTCGGCAATTTAATGTAAATAATTTTAAGAAATCTAGTCATTGATTTTTCGATGAATTTAATTATTTATTTTAAATAGAATACCAGTTCTATTTTTTTTTACCAGTGGCACTCAAATAGAGGTTCATGGTCCCCATCTGGTCCATTTTGGTTTTTTTTGTTTTTTTTTATTCTTGTATTCATTTGAATCAATGTCAGATTGGAAATTGAATTATTTGTTTTTATTTTGGCACATATTTATATTTTAATTTTAATAAAAATAACATTTAATTATGATTATAATAAAAAGTGTCATTAGCCCTTTAAGATTTTTATTTGAGTAACCCTGTTGCAAACTGCGTTATTGCTCAAAAATTCCATTGAAGTCCCTACAAATACATTCATTGAAAGATCAACATTACAACACAAAAAAAGTACATTCTGTGGCATGAAAAAAAAAATTGAAATTCCAGTTAATTTGCAAACCTAGTTGGGCCCTGCCCTGCCTACTTCGGAAACCACCGCTTATAAAGTAATGATTCACTTAAGCTCGTACCTAAATTTAATTGTGCTGCATGTACTTACCACTGAGGTGATTGTATTTCATGTATTTCTTGTGTTCGTATTGCTCAGGTTGTCCTGGCCCTTCCCTACGACACTCCAGTCCCTGGCTACAGAAACAACATTGTCAACACTATGAGACTGTGGTCGGCCAAAGCTCCCTGTGACTTTAACCTTAAAGACTGTGAGTATTTTTGGATCGTCCGTTTCTATGTTCGATGCTAAATAAACAAATAAATAAAAAGCCTGTGAATAACTCCTATCCCGCAGTTAATGTCGGTGGTTACATCCAGGCCGTGCTTGATCGAAATCTGGCTGAGAACATCTCCAGGGTTCTCTACCCCAATGACAACGTGAGATACTCTACGACACATCGGTTTCTCTAACCTACTGATTTAATTTTGAGGATTTTTATTACTTGTAATAATATTGTAGTCAATAACATATACCGTAATTTCAGTTACACGTTAGCTCTTTCTTTAGAGCGTTGGCTTTAGCGCCCCGACCGTAGTTGGAATACATAGGGGAGACTTAGTGATCTGCTCCAGGTCTGAAGCTAACATTAGCTCCTGGGGCTAACTCCCTTCACTTTGTGCTTGTCCACAGCAGAGGTAAACAGAAACAGTGAAGTTGGGGTCTTTATTATCAGCCACTCCGACCACAACAGAACATAAACAGCTCCTGTATATCCAACTCACACTTTAACATGACAAACTGCTGTCAACTTTCACTACTGTTCTCTCTCTCTCTCGCCCCACACACATATACACTCACAGCCAATCACAGACAGCCATACGCTACTAGTATAACACACAGTAGCCTACCAGAAAAGTCATTGATCGCTAGCGGTATGAACTTCGTTAGCCCGTAAAAATCCATAAATTAGCCGCATCATTGTTTAAGCCGCAAGATTCAAAGTGTGTGGAAAAAACGTAGTCGCTTATACTCAGGAAATTACGGTTCATGCAAACCCATTGGACACATTGTTTTAGTTCTAGTTCTTTTATGTTAATTTAATTAAAATAAAACTAACTTTATGTAAGAATGTTTTTGCTCCATTTTTATTACTCTCGGTGCATGCGTCATGAGTCTGTTTTTTCTCGGCTCCTCAGTTCTTTGAGGGGAAGGAGCTGCGTCTCAAACAGGAGTACTTTGTCGTCGCCGCCACCCTTCAGGACATCATCCGTCGATTCAAAGCCTCCAAGTTCGGCTCTACGGAGTTTGTGCGCCTGGACCTCTCTACACTGCCAGACAAAGTAAGATGTACATCATTTATCAGAACAAACTGTATATCTTTTTTATTTAAAGTTATAATATATAATAACAATACAATAATTCCTGGTTTTTAAAAGTGGGGGCTGCGGTCCTGTGAGGGGCAGCCAGGGGGATCCTGAGGAAGACTCAGACAGTTGGAGGGAAGTTGGGGAAAAAAACTATAAATGTATTTAAAAATTATTTAATAACCATAAGGCCTGTAATCTTCGGAATATCAAGTTTCCGATGGTACCTGAACGCACCTCGTGTGACAGCTAGAGATGTTTTCACTAGGCCTGACATCTGCTCGTTGTTAGTTGGCCTCATGTTTCGCCTTTTTTTTTTTTGAGCAAATTATTATTTTATTTTTTTTATTATTATTTATTATTTTTTTATTATAATAATTATTATTGAGCTTTCACTATATTATGATTATAACACCATTTTAATATAATTTCAATCTGATATTGACTACACAGGCATTCTGTTAACAGGTGCGTTTTGGGTTGGTTCATTTTGTTTTTTAAATGGAAAATTAGTTCAACAAATTTGGGCTAAACATCAGGGGCTTTCATCAGAGTTCCAATCCCACTGTGCCATGCAACTCGATTTCTGCTGTAAGACTGGAACTTGCATACTGTACATAAGTACCTGTTTGACTCACCTATGTTAACACAGCAGTAACATCATAGCCTAGGACAGGCATGGACACACTACGGCCCGGAGGCCTGATGTGTGGTGTAGTGGTCAGAAATAGTACAACTTACTGACCTTTCACTTTGTCGGTTTCCAGGTAGCCATCCAGCTGAATGACACTCACCCGGCTCTAGCTATTCCGGAACTGGTAAGGATCCTTGTGGACATGGAGAACCTCACCTGGGAGAAGGTAGGATCAGAGAGCAACTTCTCATCTGTCATTCTCAGTTCTCATGTAGTACAAAAACTATGACATACTCTGACCCACACCCCTGCTTACTGAAATACTATTGAGAACCTGCTAACATGTATATTTGTATCTGTACAAACCACTGTATGAGTTGCTGCCACCTAGTGACTGGAGGCTTGTTATCATTCTTCAGTCTACTGAGTTAAAAAAAAAAACTTTTTACTGCTATTTTTTCATCACTTCTGAGTGTATATTAGAAATGACAAAATAAAAAACATTTGCGTTCAGGTGTCCTCTCTATGAAGGAATCAGTAAGATGAGATGCTGAAATCTGCCTTAATACCTCAACATACTAATACTACTATTTCACAGTAGTACTGAAGCACTACTTGCACTTGTATTCAACCTGCTTGGAGAGAAAAAAAGAACCAGGAAGTGTGATACGCTGAAGTACGTCACATGATGTATTACAGGAGACAATTAGCATAGTTAGCATAACGAGTATTGAATACTTTGTCATTTTCCTAGCTGGATGCACCTTTCAAATGAAGTATGCAATACTTATTGTACTTTTTGTCTCAATTGTGTCTCAGGCCTGTACGCTGTCTCTAACACACTTGTGTGTCCTCAGGCCTGGGACATTGTCACTCGTACCTGTGCCTACACCAACCACACCGTCCTGCCTGAAGCTCTGGAGCGCTGGCCTGTTGACCTCTTCCAGAATCTCCTGCCTCGCCACCTAGAGATCATCTACGAGATCAACAGGAGGCACTTGGAGGTTCACATGCCTTTTTTTTTCCTTCCTGTTTAAAAACCATTTTGCACCTCTCTAATGTTGTTGATCCCTTGCACAAAGAGGGAGTGAAGTCAGCAGAAGGTCTGGATCTACAACAACTAAAAGGGCATTGATAATAATAATAATTGTCATGAGAAATTATCCTTATTATATTTTTAAAAATATTCCCTCGTCAATCTTTTTAAGCAAATTATATGCAGGTGCAATTATATATGTGAATCAAAGGATTATGGGACGTTAGAGTTGTAAGATTCCCGCCTGGTTTAATTCTCTCTGTACTCATAATCTTTTACTTTCTAATTCTATATTTTTCTTCTTTTTAGTGTGCGAAGATTATAGAAGTACAGTATTTTATTGACATATCATGAAATATAACCTGCACCCCACAGTGCCTTTTATTCTTAACGATTACCTGACGTAGCGTTTAATGATTTTGGTCAGAATGATAATCATGATCTTTTTTAACAATATTGAAATCACAATTTTTCATTATGTTTGGTAAAAATATTTTTTTTCATATTATTATTTTAATATGTTTTTATGCAAACAGATTAAGCTTTCGGTTCAAAATGAAATTTAAAAAATCATATATATATATATATTTATATATATATATATAATTTAAATAATAAATAATTGAAGCGAAAGGTTAATGAAAAATAAATATGCATTTTACTATTTGCAAAATAGGCACAACAACACCTATGTCTGCGTAGTATTAAGGTCAGGGAAGATTTTTGCATATTTGCATATTTGTTTTCACCATGCTTCTAAAGCCCTTGTTGCTCACGGTATTTATTGGACGCTATTGTGTAAGTGAGTGGTTCTCCAACTGTTTCTACTCTGTACCACCTGAGAAAACATTGAGCTCTCTGAGTACTATCATGATGACCAACATTAGAAAATAGCAGCGTAGACCTTTTCCTCACGTACCACTAGAGAGCGCTCACATACCACTGGTCTAAGTTATTTCAGGGTGTCACTCAGTGCAGGATTGCTGTCACGGTTGGCGCTGGACACAGAAATTTCATGGATCACTATTAGCGTTAGCTTTAGCCTTCCTGTATTCATCGAGTTTGTGGTGTTTTTTAAGGTGGTTGAATAAGTTAGTTGTGTTGCCACTCTGTTGTTTGAATGTATGTTTGGTCATTTAGATCATTTTGATCTAAATCCAAAAATGTCCAGACAATCGTTGATCCCTTACAGTTACTTGCTCAGGCTTGGGCAAACTTTTTGACTCTCAGGCCACACTTATCCTAAACTTTGACAGAGGGGGGCCGAGTCAGGAGCAGATAGATGGAGCATTGGTGTGAACTAAGAAAAATGATGTGTAAAAGTCATGGATAAAGGATAAAATGCTAATATGCTTTTATCATTTTCTAAACCATTTATTGAGGGAATGTGGGTGTTGCAGGGACAAGGCAGAAGTATAACGATAATACAAATAAATTATATCATTTCGAAAAGTTTGGCGGATTAAAAAGCTGAACGGGCCGCATCCGTTAGTTTGCCCATGCCAGTACTAGCTTCTCCTCACCTCCAATGCTACGGTACTGTCACCTTCTGCCTCCGATGTTACGTCTCATTAGTGACTGAACAATTTGATGCTGGCGAGTGCTGCGAGCTGTAGGGCGAGCTAGCTTTCTAATTAGGCAGTTTTTGCTCGCCCCCTGGTGGTTGGTTGTCTATTGGTCGAAAAAGTACTTGATTTCATATGCGGCTAAAACCGTGATTATGATTAAAATTGGATTAATTGTGCAGCTCTAACCTGACATTTTAAGTAATTTAACATAAGAAATCATCTGAATGGAAATTAAATGTATGGCTTATCTTTCTCTGTAAACATCATTTATTTAAGTTTGTAAGTTAAAACATGTCTTTCTTCACTCCCTCCTCAGCGTATTGGTAAGCTCTACCCCGGTGACTTTGACCGCCTTCGGCGTATGTCCTTGATCGAAGAAGGTGACGTCAAGAAGATCAACATGGCTCACCTGTGCATTGTGGGAGCTCACGCCGTCAACGGAGTGGCTCGCATTCACTCGGAGATCATCAAAAACACAGTGTAAGATGAATTACATGTATTTTCTCAGCCTGTGCTTCACACACCCTAGGTGTGTTGTTAGTATTCAGAAGTATTCGCCAGCTAGTACCAGGACTGTATTGTGAAACTAAGATTTTAAATTTTACTGGGGGGAAAAAACATCTGGATCCTTCTATGGGTAATTTCTGACTGTTTCCCTCCAATAGGTTTAAAGATTTTTATGACCTCGACCCTCAGAAGTTTCAGAACAAGACCAACGGCATCACACCCAGACGCTGGCTCGTCATGTGCAATCCAGGCCTGGCTGAGGTCATCGCTGAGGTCAGTGTATTTAAATCCTCGTTAGACAAAAAAAAAAAAAAAATCTGTAATTGTGCTTTTAAAAATGCATTTAGAAACAACATCAAGTCATTATTACAGAAGGGTTCATTGAAATGGCATTGATGGATGGAATAGTGTCTCTGAGTGCGCCATCTTGTGGAATCAGCTAAAAAACCCAAATAATTATGAGACTAAGAGAATAATAAGTGAGCCACTAGGGGGCGATGCTGTTCTCTGCAGAAATTTGGTGAGCCAATGAGGTCTTATAAAAAAAATATATAATTAGTGACTAGACTGAATCTCAAGTTTATTTGAAATTAAAATGATTTAAATTAAGGCAAACAATGCCTGGCAGTATTTAAAATCCTCTGAAGCTTTGCACACAGACAGGTTTCTCCAAAAGAATGTTAAGTAATGTTTTTTTTTTGTTGGTAAAACTCTACTGTGCAAACACCTGACTTGCGTTTACATTTTCAGAGAATTGGTGAGGATTACATACGTGATCTGGATCAGCTGAAGAAGCTTTTGGACTTTGTGGACGACGACGCCTTCATTCGCGACGTCGCCAAAATCAAGCAGGTGAGAGACTGCACTTTGGTTTTTTTTTTGTGGTTATTCACTTTAAAATTGTTATTTAAAAAACATTTAAAATATGTTTGAGATAGACCACATATGTATTAATATATATATTTGTGAATATAAAAACATTTGAAATATATATTACATATATGTATGCATATACATGTATATAAAAAGATACGTTTTCTGTATCAGCTGAATATATTAAGTTTTTATTTGTCATTGTGAAATAATTAATCTTTAATATATATACAGTATACATATATACAGTATATATATGGCATATATGTATATATATATAGTATATATATATACACACACACAGTATATATATTTCTTTAACCTAGTTGCATTATTTATTATTTAAGGCAACAATGTACAGGTAGGATTGCAGAGTTCATGAATCATTCCTTCTTTAATCGCTCGATCTGCTTTTCTTTCGCTCTCAGGAGAACAAAATGAAATTTGCCGCCCACCTGGAGGAGCAGTACAAGGTGCAGATCAACCCCAACTCCATGTTCGACGTCCAGGTGAAGAGGATTCACGAGTATAAACGACAGCTGCTCAACTGCCTCCACATCATCACGCTGTACAACCGTGAGTACCTCTGATCGCCTTCTCACAAATCTGACGTGAATTCAAAGTTGAGATCAACTTTTTTTTTTATTTTTCCCCCAAAAGGCATCAAGAAGGAGCCAAACAAGCAATGGACCCCCAGGACCATTATGATTGGAGGAAAGGTGAGCAGCATTCCAGGAAGTTAGCACCTTTGTCCACAATACAGTAGTGTGTAAGAACATTTCTTTTGATTTGACTTTTTAATCTGAATTCCTTCCTTGTGTTCTAAGGCTGCTCCAGGTTACCACACGGCCAAGATGATCATCAAGTTGATCACATCAATCGGTGACATCGTCAACAATGACACAGTGGTGGGAGACCGCCTGAAGGTCATCTTCCTGGAAAACTATCGTGTCACTCTGGCAGAGAAAGGTATATTTATATATATATATTTTCACACAATTTATATATATATATATATATATTCCTAATGTTGAAATTTTCAACACATTTTGATACATGAGCAGAATGACTTGTCCAACCACTTATCATTGCTCTACAACACAGTTGATGTTATCGTTTAACAATTTTCACATAGATCGTAAGGGACTGTAGGCTGATTAACACTGTTGACGCCAACGGCTTCACTGTAGTTTTTAAAGCACGTCTCAACATGTTCTACGAGCCACTGTCAACATTCAAAGTAATGACTAAAACCACCGACTCTATGAGAAAGTACATGGTTATTACAAACATACGTTGCAGGATTATTAACTATTATTTTTAATATCATACTGTAGTAAAAAAAAAAAACAAATGTGAGGCATCAGTGTGATGAAGCAAACAAACAAGTTGTTTGTGTCTGTGCAGTCATCCCTGCTGCTGACCTGTCAGAGCAGATCTCTACAGCTGGAACTGAGGCCTCAGGGACTGGAAACATGAAGTTCATGCTGAACGGTGCCCTCACTATTGGAACCATGGATGGGGCCAATGTGGAGATGGCTGAGGAGGCCGGGGAGGAGAACCTCTTTATCTTCGGCATGAGGGTGAACGATGTTGAAGCCATGGATAAGAAAGGGTGAGTGTCAGTGTCTGTGGTCCCTCACAGCAGCATCTTCATGATTGGTCTCTTAAGAGTTGGAAGAAATACAAAAACAATTTTTAATACCTATATTATATCACTCGCTTAGCTAACATGTTGGGTACATCATAATCTGGGACCTAAAAGGGTTGGTAACAATCTGTCTTCAGCCTTTGTTTTCACTATTTTAGATTAGCAAAGCTGAGCTGAACCTATGTTCAGTCTTGCTTCGTGCAAGAACAAACGTAGTGCAAAATGATGGTGTCTCAATTATTATAACGTGCCGGAAACAATTATCCAAATGTTCACTAGTTGTCATATTTTCGAACATGCTGTAAAATGCTGTCAGAGCCGACGGACTCAAGTGTTAATTACTTTCAGTGTAAAATAATAAGGGGATAACCTATTTGCCATATAAGTCGCACCAGTCGGCTCTGTAGTGCCCTCTAGCTGGTGTCAGTGTAAAAATAACGAACATGTACATTTTCAGTGGTACAGGAGTGGCAGATACTGGTACACAGGCCTGGCGTTCCCTCTAGTGGCTGTCAGTGCGAAAATAACAAACATGTGAAATTATACATTTTAATATAGAAGTCACAAACTGAGCCAAAGTACATTAAAACTCTTTTTTTTTTGCCCTCAGCTATGATGCCAAGTCATACTACAACAGCCTCCCAGAGCTGAAACAGGCAATGGACCAGATTTCAGGAGGTTTCTTCAGCCCTGGCCAGCCTGACCTCTTTAAAGACCTGGTCAATATGCTGATGAATCATGACAGGTGACGCTCACATACACCAACACACATTTGTAGAGTTTGATTAGACCACCTCGATCCTTTCTTACGTGTGACCACTGTGTTGCAGATTCAAGGTATTTGCCGACTATGAAGACTACATCAGATGTCAGGAGAACGTCAGTGCACTGTACAAGGTCAGTAGAAAAATGGACGCGGACTGTGGTTGTTAGGTGGTCAAAAAGAAAAAAAATCCTCTGATTAGACTAGATTAGATGTATAATTATATAACTTATTCAAACAGCAGTTAATGCAATCAAGAAAACTTGCATTGCTTGAAATAAGATAATAGGATATTTTTGTTTTGTTGTTTTGTTATTGGACTTCTGTGCTAGTCACAGTTTGTCCAAAACAAACACCATGTTCAAGCATAAAGGTGTCCATCAGTGCACCTGGCACCAGGACACCCTAGGCCGGAGGTCAATGATCGACTTTGTAGTCGTGTCATCTGACATCCGGCCGTATGTATTGGACACTAGGGTGAAGAGAGGGGCTGAGCTTTCAACTGATCACCACCTGGTGGTGAGTTGGCTCCGCTTACGGGGGGCAAAGCTGGATAG